GCTTCCCTCAGGCAGCGTTTCACCTCCCGCTGTGCTGCTTTCATCTCCTCCTTCACTTTCACTTTGATGGCACCAGTTCTGACATAAACAGTAGTAACCAGACCGAAAAGCAGCGCACATTTCGCTGCTTTTTTTTCCTGAGACGTCATACACTTTGGATTCAAGCCAATCATTTTATGTTTCCGAGGATAGTAGGCGGGCCCAGATACGTATGTTCTTTTAGAGCAGAGCTACAGATTAAAAATGCCCAAGGCGAAAAGTCTGGCTTTACTTCACAGCAAAAGATGCAAACTCAGCAGCCTGCAACAAGTGCTTTAAGCTGATACTGTGATACTGTCAAAGGAAGTAACACCTCGAATCTGATGATGCATGTAAGGTGAACTAGCAAACACAGTCGTAGCTACATGCGGCTGTCTTCTTGTTTGATGGCAGATACTCCCTTCACCCCGGCCAAAAAGGCTAAAATGACCAAAGAAAAAGAGGAAAACAGCTGAACATGAGAGGTTTTTGGACAAAGTTTGTGTTCTCCATTCTTTAAGTATCGGTTTGGTATCGGATAAAACCTAAACGATACCCATCCCTAGTCATAAGCCCCGCCCTCTGTTCAACAATGGTCATTTACAGTGGACATGGATATCCTCTTTTACCCTCCTTTTAAACCAGCTGTCTAAAATGTGAACATTGGCATTCTTGAAAGAGTGACCTTTGACCTTGCAGATGTAGAGCTGTCCAGGTGGCTCTTCAGTGTTGCACCGTGTGTGCATTGAGTGGCTGTTTGGTTTCTCCAGTACAGAGGCCTGAGGACTACCTGCTGCACTGCACAGCATTAACTATGATGTTAAGCTTGTGTTTGGAAGTTTGTTTGGTTTTTCCCCCTTAGGATTCCCCAGGGGGCGTGGCTTGTCAGGGGGGCGTGGTTGGGTCTGGGGACGGGACTGGGTCTGAAGAGCACTGGGATGTTGTGCTTTGAGAAATTTCTCCTGAATTTTCTGAGAGGCTGAAGAAGCCTATTGGATGAGAGGTGAAACATCCTTATGAAACTCAAAGAAGTCGAGTCGCTTCATTTCTGAGCTCCTCAGACTGCCATGAGGGCCCCCGCTGCCTGAGGGCCCCCGCTGCCTGAGGGCCCCCGCTGCCTGAGGGCTCACACAGACAGCCAGCACAGAATATTTGATCGTGTACAAAAGCACCAGCACCTTTGAAAAGTGATGGAAGGATGCACAATTACAATGAAAGTCTTTTTCACAGCAGCGTATTGAATAAATAAAATAAAGGACATGGCAGTGGCCACTTTAGTAGCGCCCGCATTCTTTGAGTGCGATTATGACTAAATAGATAATAAATAACAGGCAGTCTTAATGTTTAATTAAATGTCCAATGAGTGTAAGGTGTGCCTGTGTCCCTGCAGGGTTCTGTGGCGTACGTTCCCCAGCAGGCCTGGATCCAGAATTCCTCTTTAAAAGACAACATAATCTTTGGTCAAGAGAGGAGACAGTCCTGGTATCAGCATGTGGTGGAGGCATGTGCCCTTCAGCCTGACCTTGACATACTTCCTGCAGGAGATGACACTGAGATAGGAGAGAAGGTATGAGCCCATAGTACACGTCTTTGTGTGTAAATCAATGTCGACACAAAACAAGTTGGCCTCGGAGAACGTAAAACAGTTTTCGCTCTGCAGTCCTATGAAAACATCGTTACTGCGTCTTACTTATTAAGAGGTGAGTAAAAGCCGAGTGTTGCTATTTAAATGCAGTTTTCTGCAGTTAACTGAGCATGTGTTGGGTCGGTTTGTAGTATTGTATTAAACCACACCTGAACACCCGAGGCCATCAGTCTCCCCAGGAGTGCACATCCCAGGAACTTGTTATCGTGGTCAGACGGTGCCATGGGAAAAGGAAAACCCAAGAGCTACATGTCAGACTGCAGGCCTCAGTCAGTGTGTTACATGTTAGTGAGATCATGACCGTACGATTAGCAAAGACTCAATAGGTATTTCGAGGAGATGCCCGATAAAGCTTTGACGAGGATGTGACCCCCAGGAATTCACAGGGAACCGGTTTCTTGTTGAGGTGTCTGGTTACTGAGCGAGACCACAGACAGTAGTTTGGACAGACTTGTTGGTGTGTCACTGAGTCTTTTGTTGCTGTTTGATGACGCCGGCAGCATTTCTACAATGATGAGCTAGCCTGCTATACTGTCTGCCTCTGACCGTCTGTCTGCAGGGAGTGAACCTGTCAGGAGGTCAGAAGCAGCGGGTGAGCCTGGCCAGGGCCGTCTACTGTGATCGTGCCGTCTACCTGCTGGATGACCCGCTGTCTGCTGTCGATGCTCACGTAGGGAAACACATCTTTGACCAAGTCATCGGCCCACAGGGACTGCTGAAGGACAAGGTGTGTGTGTGTGTGATGGAGTCATATACATTAGGGGTGGGGAAAAAATTGATACTGTGTAGCATCGTGATATTTTGTTTGCTAATAATGTATCGATACAGGGACGGCAGAAATCGATATTTTGTTACAAAAAGGTTTTTGTGCTCTGACTTCAGAGCATGTTGATCCTTTTTCTGAGCAAGAATCCTGACATTCCTTCACTGTCCAAATGTGTTTAACTTTTTTGTGGCAGCAATAAACATGACAGTTTACTTATTTTAATTTAAGACATGTTTTATTTTAATTAAGTTTAAAACTTTTTTATTTAATGTAAAATTATATTTTGTTTTAATTTACTTTCAAATTCTTCAGTTGCTGAAGGGGCTGCATAGTTTTCATATTGCATAGTTCAGAATAGCTGTAATTGTACCAGATGGTTGCATTCAGTTAAGTTGGACTAGACTGTAATACAAACCATTCAGTTTGTCAACAATAAAACTGACATGAGAGAAAGACTGAGTGCGAGACTTTGATATTAGATAAAATGAATATTGATAAAGTTTACCTTTATGTACAGAATCTGAATATCGCAAAATATTTTAAAAAATTGCAATAATATCGTATCGTGAGTTGTATGGTGATTCCCACCTCTAATATACATATACCCAGGATCATGACTGGGATCCTGTGTGTCCCTCACAGCATTGGTACTTTGCTCGTACGGGACTGTGCAAAATTCTTGAGCCACCCGTCTTTCCTTTATATTTTTCTAGGAACTTGGAAATGTTTGCAGCACTTTATTGAAACTGAATGTGAAAGTGTGTAGGACGAGTCTTGTTCTTCTACACAGCGTAAACTCTTTTAGTTCCCAGGACTAAAAGTTGGCAGTCCAAAGCTCTTTGGATGTTGGCTTCAGTGAGCAGTAAATCAGTCTGTTCTCACATTTCTTATCCTTATTGTTCTTTTGCTGTGTCAGCCGTAATTCTTTGTTAAAGACACTGCACAGCATCCAGAGATAAGTTCTGGGCTGAAGTCAACCTTCTTGGTCCCAAACTGTTTTTCTGCCAGTCAAACTGGGACATCAGTGTTTTTCTGCTCACTGAGCAGCCTCTGTGTTCATCCCTTGAGTTTATGTGCATTTTAGTCTTGAATGATTCGTAGATCAGTGTTTAAAAAATGTCTCCAGAAAATGTTTGGGAACGTCTACAGCTGTCTGTGAATAACACTGACCTTGTTGTAAAAGCTGACCCAAAGGCGACCATGTGGGGCCTTTCACTCTCTCTCCCCCTGTTTCACTCTGCTATCAAAAAGGCCCCAAAAAGATTGTGTTAAAAAAACAACTCCTCTGGCTTGTTACAGGTAAAACCTAAGAGACTGTGGTGGTTTCAGGCTTGTGAACAGTACTGTAGATTGTATGAAATTATCCAAACAACATAAGATGATCCAAATCCAAATGTAAAGTTGTTTTAGTTGTTGAAATTGTCTCTCAGCAGCATAGATGCTTTTAGACCAAGTTTACTAACTCTGTGTAGCCATGTACAGACTCGTGTGCTGGTTACCCACGGCTTGAGCTACCTGCCCCAAGCTGACTTGATCCTGGTCATGATGAAGGGCGAGATCTCAGAGGTGGGCTCGTACCAGCACCTCATGGCCACAGAGGGAGCCTTTGCAGAGTTCCTGCGAACTTACGCTGCAGTCGACAAAGCTGATAACATTGGTGAGGAGTGTGTCGTGCTGCCGTGTAGCGTAGCACCGTGCAGTGTTTGGAGTAGTAGTTCTGTTAAGATGAAGTCTGATCATTATTTTATCATACTGCAGCTGGTCTTCTCAGATCGACTTCATGTTTTAAATTTCCTTCCTCCATTTAGAGCCCGTGCCAAACAGCAGCATCCAACGACTGGAGAACGGCAGCGTGCCCACTCTTACTGGGTGAGTGATTTAGGGTTAGGGTCCTGGGGGGCTGGGGTGTCGCACTAAGCACATAAGTGTCCTTCTGTTTGAGCAGCAGTCCAGGTGTCTGCACTGCATCCAAACAGTCAACCACAGCAGACGAGAAGCTGAGCAAGAAGCCCAAGAATCCCGAGGTGGGGAAGCTGACGGAGGCTGACAAGGCCAGCACTGGGCAGGTGTGTGGATCTGCACGTGGTCGCATGTATAAATGCACACGTTTCTGTATAATGTGTCTGTGTTCAGTCTGGGATCACAGCAGCTCTCCTGTCCTCCGCAGGTTAAGCTGTCTGTCTTCTGGGCCTATTTTAAGTCCATTGGAGTGTTTCTGTCCTGCATCAGTCTTCTGCTGTTTCTTGCCCATCACCTGCTCTCCCTGTTCTCCAACTACTGGCTGAGTCTGTGGACCGATGACCCTGTGGTTAATGGCACGCAGCCTAACAGACTAATGAGACTGGGGGTGTATGGTGCCTTTGGCCTGTCTCAGGGTGAGCATGACAGGAAAAACTCGTGTTTTTGTCTGGTTCAGAAAGTGAGGCAACACCAAGGGTAGCCATTGTACGCATCACGACGAGCAGGAAACGGCACCTTTGCTTTTTCCTGCTCATCGTTTTTTAAACAAACAGCACGCAAATGTTAGGTGGCCAGTCCAACACAGGCCTGACATGTGTGCTTACTTAATCACATGTCTGTTGGAAGCTAGAGCACCAGAGGACACTCGCACATGTAGGTGCCACCGGACAGAGATGGAGGGAGACTGATGTGGTGTCAGCTCACAGAGCAGGGTGACCGTGTCCACCACCACTAATAATATGCTTAGTTAACCCTGCAGCGCGCCCTTGGTCCTACTGTCACAGCTGAGATGGGGTCCAGTAGGGCTGTTCGATATAACGCTATATATCTGATGACAGTATGAAAATATTACACTATCGTTTGTTTCGTGGTGTCGCAAAATAAACTGTTTACAGCAATATGCCTTCATGGTCCTGACGGTCACTGTAGTGGCTGTATTCTCTCTTTATATTTAAAATAACCACACTACAGACGTGTTGTCGTTAGCAACAACGACGGTAAACCCAGCGTGTGGCTATGCCTTCCTCTTGTTTATTTTCCACATAAACCTTTCACAATAAAGCTGAAGAGCCTGTTGAGACTTTTCAAAATAAACTGAAATGATGACCTTATTCCTAATCGAGGGGCCACCTCGAGCACGGACATGGTTTGGTTACGAAAAGTCTGACACGGACCAGAAAACTGTACGATGCACATTATGCAGCAAACCGGTCCAACACCTCAGACTCAAACACAGCAAACCTCTTTAACCACCAACACAAGAGTCACCTGACAGAATGCAGAGAAGCAAAAAGAGCCGTCAGGTGCTCCAGATACAGCTTAGACTCAATCGTTTAAAAACAGGCTTTTCCCCGCAGCACGCCGTCTAATAAATACAAAGAAAACGGCGGCCGTTACAACTTATGTCTAAAAAGTGTATAGCTTCATGCATCGGTCAAAACACTCGACTCCAGGTACACGACGCCCAGCTGGAAACACTTCACAGTGTCGAGCTGCCCGAGATTCACAGAATTTACAGAACGTGTAACATTTCTGTGATATCATTGTCCGGGCGATAAATGTCTTATATCGGGATATGAGAGCTTGGTCATATAGCTCAGCCCTGGGGTCCAGGCCCCCCTTCTCCAGCTCGTTCCCCTCAGTTATAGACTCGTCTTATGTGTCTTGCTGGATGCAGGTGTGCTCTTCACACAGAAATAAGTCATGATATTGTGCAAACTCCTCTGCTGTCCTTCAGGTGTGGCTGTCTTTGGATACTCCCTGTCCATGTCTATTGGGGGTGTTCTGGCGTCCCGGTACCTCCACCAGTCCATGCTGTACGATGTCCTGCGCTCACCTATGTCCTTTTTTGAGCGAACCCCCAGTGGTAACCTGGTCAACCGCTTTGCCAAAGAGATGGACACCATTGACACGCTGATCCCCAGCATTATTAAGATGTTCCTGGGCTCCATGTTCAACGTGCTGGGCTCTTGTGTTATCATCCTGATTGCCACACCTCTAGTCAGTATCATCATTCCTTTCCTGGGTCTGCTCTATTTTTTTGTGCAGGTGAGTTTGAAAAGGGAAACGGATTCTGAAGTGTCAGTATATTCCAGTGTTATCCCCACAGTACTACGCCTCCCTGCACTGTAGTTCTGACTATTGTTACGAAATCAGCTTCACCCCGCTTCTTTTTATGCCTCGAGGCATCCAGAGACGGCACCGGACTCAGTAGCCATTTTCACAAAACCTTTATTCATCTTCATTCATCTTCATTTAAGCATCTTCTAGAAGGGGAGAGGTGCCAGTGACCCCATCATAAAACCCCCATGGTGTGCTGCAAACTCTGTGTGTGTCTGCATGAGCACGTGAGTGTGCATGTAGGTGTGTGAGTGTAACAGTCAAAGCACTGTGTGTGTCTCTGTGTACGTGACTTCCTGGGGGTCATAAGAGGAATCTCCTCACCCAAGCTACACCAGATTCCTCCAGACAACATAGAAAACAGAGTTAACACATTACAAACACTGAGACGCCCACTCTGCACCCACTGGGCCAGTGGCCTCTTGTTGTCTTACATTTACATTTAAGGTGGAGTCTCCTGCAAACCTGCTTCTAAGTTATAACAATTATGAGTTTTTATTAAAGGTACAAGCATCAGCAACCCCCCACTGTAGCTCCCTGTCTCCTTTTATGACAGCAGACCCCCAGTGTCCATAAACTCCTTTCCCTCTAAACAAGTACACTCTCAGGCTACAGCTAAGCCACACTGAAACACACAAACAAATCCTTCCTTATTCCTGTGATCTAAACAAATTTAACACATCACATTCCAATAATTGTTTTCTTGTACTCGCACTATATAAGTCACATGTGTCTATCCTTGCTCTGTCCAGAGGTTTTATGTGGCGTCATCTCGCCAGCTGAAGCGTCTGGAGTCGGTCAGCCGTTCCCCAATTTACACCCACTTCAATGAGACCCTGCTGGGCACGTCGGTTATCCGAGCCTTCAGTGAGCAGGAGCGTTTCATCCATGAGAGCGACCAGCGCGTGGACCATAACCAGAAGGCTTACTATCCCAGCATAGTGGCTAACAGGTCAGGAGGCTGCCGCCACACGCTCTCACTGCACCACCTGCTACAACAGTTTACACCGCCTTTTAGGATGAATGTCCCTAAATTAGGATCTCTCTGAGACTGCTCATTGGAGTATTACTGCAGCAACACGAGTACATTATATTCACTTTGGACGTAGAAAAGCTCCATTTACGTTTACATGCTTTCATTTTCATGCTTTCATTTTCATGTTTCTTTCCAATCTCTGGCTGAAAGGTTAAAAGCAGTGTTGGGAAGGTTTCTTTTAAAATGTAAAGTAAAATGTTATTTATATAGCACCTTTCAAGATAAAATCACAAAGTGCTTCACAGAGGCAGGAAACAGACATTAAAATCTAAAACAAAACAACATCAACCAAGAGCGAGTTTAAACAGATACGTTTTTAACTGCTTTTTAAAAGACACGACTGAGTCCACAGATCTCAAACTCAAAGGGAGCGAGTTCCAGAGTCTGGGAGCCGCTGATACAAACGCTCTGTCACCTTTTGTTTTTAACCTTGTATGCTGGACAACCAGCAACCCCTGGTCACAAGACCTCAGGGACCTGCTGGGGTGATGAGAAAGAAGAAGATCACAGATGTAAGTTGGAGTTACACCGTGCAGGGCCCTGTAAGTCATGATTATGATCTTAAATTGGACCCTGAACTTGACAGGGAGCCAATGCAGCTGAATCAGCAGGGGCGTGGCATGGGAGTGTTTGTGATGCTTTGTCAGAAGCCTGGCAGCAGCATTCTGAACACCCTGCAGTCGTTCCAGGGAGGCATTACTCAAGCAAGTAAACAAGGAATTACAATAGTCTAAGCGAGATGAAACAAAAGCATGAAGAATCATTTCCAGTTCAGAGCGTGACACAATGGGACTCAGCGATATTTCTTAAATGGTAAAAACAACAGCGAACCAAAGATGTAACGTGTGTCCAGCGTCAGAGCTGGATCAAGTGTAACACCAAGGTTCCCAATGGAGGGTTTAATATAAGAAGCAAGAGGGCCTAGATTTTTAACCACGAGGGGAACAAATTTCTGAGGAGCAAAGACAATGACTTCCGTTTTATCAGCATGTAGTTGACGGTAATTATCAGCCAGCCGATCTGTAACAGAATCTAAGCAGGACTGCAGGATTTGGAGCTTAGAAACATCAGAAATATAGCTGAATATCATCTGCATAACAATGACATGAAATATCAGAGTAAGAGCTAAGAAGTTGCAGAAGAGGGAGTAAATACAACAAAAACAATAACGGTCCCAAGACAGAGCCCTGAGGCACCCCATAGGCAAGAGAGCTGACGGAGGATCTGAACTTAGAGGTAGAGAAAGATCGATTTGACAAATAGGATTTAAACCATTCCAATGCGGTACCCTATACATCCACCCAGTGGTTTGATCTATCTAACAAAGTAAGATGATCAACAGTGTCAAAAGCAGAGGTCAGATCCAGCAACATCAAAACAGTGCACTCTCCAGCATCATAATTCATCAAAACATCATTAGACACTCTAAGAAGTGCAGTTTCGGTAGAGTGAGTCTTACGAAAGCCAGATTGAAATTTATCAAGAATATTGTGTTCATCTAGAACAACTGAGTTGCTTGGCCACAACCTTTTCTAAAACCTTGGCAATAAAAGGCAATTTTGAGATGGGTCTGTAACTGGAAAGCACAGAAGGATCAAGTTTAGGTTTTTTTAAAAGTGGGTGAATGACAGCACTTTTACAGTGACCAGGGCCCTGACCAGAGAGTAGAGATGCAGTAATAATTTTAAGAACACTAGGACCAATAGACTCAAAAACATTTTTAAACAAAGACCCAGATAAAATATCAAGGATCTCACTGAAGTGACCAGCTTCAACAACTCAGGTAAAGACACTGGTGAAAATCAAATCTGACAGGCTTAAGTAAAATCGGAACAGACAAATGGTACATGGAGGGAGAGATGTTGCTCCTTACATTGCTAACCTTTTCAACAAAGAAGGAAAGAAAATTTTCAGTCTTCATTCGAAGAAATAGGGACAGCAGCAGAAGCCGGAGCAACAATATCCCTGATAGTGTCAAATAAAACCTCAGGGTTACCTCTGCTCCTAGAGACTAGGTTTGAAAAATAAGCAGCCCTTGCATCATGAACTGAAGTGTTAAAAGAAACTAAAAGGTCTTTTAAATGAACGAGATGAACCTGTAAACGAGTCTTTCTCCACAAACGCTCAGCTTTACGACAGACACGCTTTAAACAGCGAATGCTGTTGTTTATCCATGGCAAGGGTTTTGTAACAGGGGCTAGTCAAGTTTTAATAGGGCAAATAAGGGACCCAAAAGGGTGCTGTTGGCGACATCTGTCAAAAATCTAGACACCGGCAACAGAGGAGGGAAGAAGCCATTGTATGAAGGAGTGATATCCAGGCCCACCATAGAGGAGCGAATAGACAGTAGTGTCAGACGATCATAGACTAGGCCAGGCAATACATCAGAGACAAAGAAGGAGAGCAGGACAGTCAGAAACAGCAGCATAACAGAGCGAGGGAAACTGCAGCCAGCGGCAAGGCCAAACACAGGCGCCATCACACCGGAAGCAGGAAACCAGAGAACGTATGTATTCCATTACAGATTACAGATTACATGCCCCAAAATGGATTTTTTTTTAACATATTCCGTTACGTTACTCAATGAGAGTAACATATTCTGAATACTTTGGATTACTTAATATATTATCATGCTTTTCACTACATGAATGTACTATTGCTGTGTGATTAACCGAATACAGTTACTCATACTTTGTATTTTAAATACGTAACGGTGGTACATGTATTCTGTTACTCCCCAACACTGGTTAAAAGTCATTAAGCTCCACAAGGGAACTACTGTATTTTTCATACAAAAGGTGCACCGGATTATAAGGCACATTAAGCAAACAAAGCAGTCAGATAAGTCAAACTTAACTCATTCTTCTTGCTTCCTCCACTTCTGTCCCATCGATTCATTAATGCTGTATTCTATCACAGCTGCTCTATTCCCATGTTGTTGCAGTATATGAATGACTAACCTCGTATTGTGGATGGATTATCTCAGTTGTTCTCCTGACTGAAGTTTGGTCCGTTTACAACATCCTGCCATGCGATTGCATTTGTCTCTAACCATCAGGAACCCTCACGTTAACTTTTATCGAGGGGAAAAGTGTTAGCGTTCATCCTCCAGCTTCACTGTGTTTATGCTAACACAGCTGTGTCGCTAGCGATCACGTAGCACATCATTATATACCAGCTAGCCCAACTTCAGTAACCCTACAAACATCACTGCTGTTTAGTTTCGTGTCTTCATTTATGTTGGAAGTGATAGCAGAGCTGTACGTTTGAATGTTTCTGAAATCTCTGTCAGAACATGCTATATCATGCTTAGATAGAAGCTAGCGAGCTAACTTCCTGCTAACTTCTAACTCTGTTAAATGTAATAACTTTTGTTTTAATGGATGCCTGGAAGTTAAACTTCATAGTTACACCTGGTAAAGCAGCAATGCTGATCGTTTTATTAAAGATGAAAGAATTTAGTCAGGTTTTAACTCTCAGTGATGCTGCAGTGTTCGTTTGACTTTGGGACCTGAACTGGACGGAGTTTAGGACCCAGATTACTCCGCGAGGCTTCTTGAGCACAACCAGAATTCATACATAAGGCGCGCTGTCAATTTTTGAGAAAATGAAAGGATTTTAAGTGCGCCTTATATTGTACAGTAATCTACTTTCCTGAATCTGTGTTTGTGCAGGTGGCTGGCGATTCGCCTGGAGTTTGTGGGAAACTGCATTGTGTCATTTGCTGCTTTGTTTGCTGTCGTTGCCAGACAGAGCCTCAGCCCAGGCATCATGGGACTGTCCATCTCCTATGCCCTCCAGGTAAACATGGACAATCTCCTTAACCTGTGCACTTATTTCATACATTAAAGAAAAAGAGTGCCAAGTAGCTACAAGGAGCTTAGCCTTCCTACTAATTTAACTGTTTATTCCCTAGTTTAAGCCATTTTATTGATGTTTAGCAGTCAGATTTAGTACACAAGTTCACTGAAAAACATTTATTCTATTGTATTGTTCTGGGGTTTTTAAGAATAGATTCATCACTGTTTCATGGAAACGGTGTCCCACAGTCCTGATGTTACTTTCACAGTAAGTGACTGAGTTGGGTACATTTATGAGCCCATTATGTTTTATACAGGAATGCTTTTTACGAGCTCTGTTTAGGGTTACCATACTTTGTTTTAATCTATGGTAAATATTCTGAAACAGTCTTATGTCAGTAATGGAATGCACCCCACTTTTAAGTTCAGTTTAAAACAACTTTTTTTATTTAAAGGAGAACTTTGTTATGTATTTGATGTCCTTTCATGTCAGTTATATTATTTATGAGGGGAAATTCAAACAGCCCTCTGCCTAGAAGAAGGAAAAGGTTTTGTGCTTTGTTATGTTTGTTCTTAATCTGCCAAAACTCTGATCCTGTTCATCGGGACGTTTTCATCATCAGGCGACTCCTTCAGTCTCAGCTGACTGCAGGTTTCCAACATCAGCCCACCGAACAATGGGCTGTGAGGTCATTAATGTGCAGACTGTCATATTGGGTAATGAGTAGCATTCAGAGTTTGCAGTCACAGCAGTGTGAGACGGTGATAGATGTACCCTTGGGCCCCCTCCTCGATTCAGAAAATCGTTGGAAACCTGCAGTCAGACTGAAGGAGTCACCTGATGATGATGGTAAAATGGTAAATGGCCTGTATTTATATAGCGCTTTACTCGTCCCTAAGGACCCCAAAGCGCTTTACATATCCAGTCATCCACCCACTCACACACACATTCACACACTGGTGATGGCAGCTACATTGTAGCCACAGCCACCCTGGGGAGCACTGACAGAGGTGAGGCTGCCGGACACTGGCGCCACCGGGCCCTCTGACCATGATGATGATGATGATGATGATGGGTTTCTCCCACTGAAAACGTCCAGATGAAGAGAACCAACCTTTTGGGATCCCCTGTCTAGAGGACTGAGCGTGCATTAATCTGGTTTTTTCTTGCCCCGTGTGCAGCTAACTACCTCACTTACCTGGCTGGTTAGGATGTCTTCTGATGTGGAAACCAACATCGTGGCTGTGGAGAAAGTGAAAGAATACAGCGACACAGAGAAAGAGGTACACAGAAACAAGTCTTTAAAGGCAGTAAGACAGTGTAGATATACTGGCAGCCATATGTGGGGTGTTTGGAGAAAGCTTTCGCCTCATGCGTGTCTAAATCGCCTTTTTTAAACATGTGTGTTGGGCCCCCAGGCGGAGTGGAAACATGAGCCCTCCACCCTTTCCCCAGGCTGGCCTACTAATGGCTGCATAGAGATGAGAAACTTTGGCCTGCGCTACCGCCAAGATTTGGATCTGGCCATCCGCAACATTACCATCTCCATTAATGGAGGAGAGAAGGTGGGATTTCACATGACTCCAGTGAAGGCATCAGCGCAGTGACAGTGCGTGTGCTTGTGGCTGTTCTGAGCTGTCTGTTCCATCAGGTGGGGATCGTGGGACGCACGGGTGCAGGGAAGTCTTCCCTAACGCTGGGGCTCTTCCGCATCATCGAGGCAGCCGAGGGCCAAATATTCATTGATGGAGTGGACATTGCCAAGCTTGGCCTCCATGAGCTTCGTTCCAGAATCACCATCATACCACAGGTACGTTCTGAGAGGATCAAAACTGTTACACTGATTAGTCCGCAGCCTGTGCATTACAGCAGCCGGGGAGCTACAGCAGAGTTGTACAGCTAACCCATCCTCAGAGTCGCTGCCCCAGTAATGTTAAGCAAACGTTATTCAGCTTCTGCTCAAACTGCACGATTGAATCGCAGGGGCTAGAAGTTTGTAGGTCACGATGCTCTGATGAGACCTGAGTGCTCACACTGTGCGTCCATAACATGAAGGTTATAACACAAAATCTGTCCCTGTCTGTCTTACACACACACACACACACACACACACACACACACACACACACACACACCAGCTTTGCTAAATTGCTAATGAAAACATTGGCCAGGCAGCTGCCATCGAACAGCAACGTCCATCCAACTCTTTTCACGGTTGGTGTAGTCGTGATAATTTTGTGAGGCCACTTTGGCAAGCTCATCTGAGCCTCTCCAAAGTTGTGCCTCCATCGCTTGTGTCACACGCTGCACTGCTGTGCTGCCCCGCCTTTTCACTTTCATGTCTGTGTTTGCGCGTGCGCCGTGTGAGAGGCTGCAGTGACGCCCTCACGAAGGGCGACAGGATTTCAAACAGGTTTGATTTTCTTACGACCAAACGATGGATGACCGGGCTGGTCGTGAGGTCTTAATCGCTCCTCATTACCCCACGTATGCTACACGATGCACGACACATGATGAAGGCGAAACTCGGGCCGTTCCCCAGAACGGTCGCACGACTGAAAAATCGTCTCAAAATGGGGGAAAAATCCCAGCATAAGACACTCTTCTCTCCCACAGGACCCGGTGCTGTTTTCAGGCTCCTTGAGGATGAACTTGGATCCTTTTGACTCCTACACTGACGAGGAAGTATGGCGGGCTTTGGAATTCTCCCATCTTAAGACCTTTGTGTCCAGCCTGCCCAACAAGCTTAACCACGACTGCAGTGAAGGAGGAGAGAACCTGAGGTATAACTGCTTTATACGTCCAAGCAACCACAAATTAGAAACTGAATTAGATACAAAGTATCCCAGTTTCACAGCTTCTTTGAAAAACACGTTAGTGTGCACACTCGTCAAGCACGATTAGCAACACCTGCATTTCTTGCAGTTGTGCAGTACACTAGTTATGGGGCAACAGTGCATATACGAGTCGTTGGATAAAGCGCTGGAGTAGGGATTCCTGCCTTTGAAACGGTCTGCTTTTCCTTCAGCGTGGGTCAGCGGCAGCTGCTGTGCCTAGCCAGAGCTTTGCTGAGGAAGACCAGGATCCTTGTTCTGGATGAGGCCACGGCAGCTGTAGACATGGAGACGGACAACCTGATCCAGTCCACCATCCGCTCTCAGTTTGAGGACTGCACTGTCCTCACCATAGCGCATCGCCTCAACACCATCATGGACTACACCAGGTACTGTACACCAAAGAGACACTGGTACGGCCCCCACCCTAAACGTGGAATATCTGTATTAATGCCTGTATTTGTGTGTCTCCCAGTTCTGTTTGTTCTCTGTTGGCGCGACCATTTCAGTCTCTTACAGTTGTTAGGCCATACTGAAAGCTCTTTAAGGATAGACAGTTTCTGGTTTCCATGGTTACTACAGTAACAGTCAGAATGGTTAGTAACAGGGTTTTGACTTTTAGTTATATTTATGATTGCGTTTGATAAGGTTAATTTTAATAACCTCCATGCAACAAACAAAAAGCATTGAAATATGCTAACACCTGCAGAAACATCCCATGATGCAATGGTGTCCGACAGAAACAAAGCAGAGAGCCAGTCTCAGTGATGGATTCAAACCACGTTTCTGCCTTTCTTTGTAAACTTACATCCACTGTGATTACACTGAAAAACTCCATCTCCCACAATGCATTAGAGCTGGTTCCCATCCAAAAATAGCCACTTTATGCCCGGCTACAGAGATTTGATTGGACGGCAGCGAGGCTCATTCCTCCTGCATCATGTGTATGTCTTGCCCTGCAGTTTGTGATTGGTGGGATTGACGTAAATGCAGTGATGTCACTGTGATTTTATTGGCTGGAAGGATTTAAAAACGAGGCTCAATCCTGCGATTGAAGCTGAAATGACTGCCCTGTGCTTAAAGTCAAATATTTTTGCTGTCATTTCTGTTGGCACCAAACCCATTCTAGTTTATGAGGAATGAATTCAGGGTCATGTGACCCTCTGTATCAGCCTATAGGCTTCCTTGGTTTGGTTCTCTCTGACTAACAGATGTTTATGTGCAGGGGTGGGATTCACTCAGGTGTGTGTCGCCTGTTGTTGCCTGTAATGGAATCCGTCCTCATGTTTGTCATTGCATGTACTGAGCTCTAAGATGAGACGGTTTTTAGCTCTGTGCTTTGTTTTCCAGATTCTTTCCTTCTGTTTGAGGCATTTCATTTCTCTTTCCTTTGTTTCTCATGCAGTGTCATTGTGATCTTAGCACTGTGCTACAGCGCCTCACTGACGCTTCACCGCTCTGTGTACCAGAGAGTATCAGTGTTCAGCGGACGTCTCGTTGGTTCATTCAAATGTCCAGCAGGAAGCCACATCGTCTTTGCTAAACATAAATAGTCTATTGTTGAGTATGAAGAGGAAAAAGTAAATATTCTTTAACTGTGGTGCAGACAAGATCCTCTTCCTGACTCGGGGTTCTCCATAACCCCACCCACACCACTACCACCTCGCTGTAAACGATCATCATCTTCACCTACTCTCGTCACTGCTCCTCGCTTCATACTTGGCGCTATCGTTTCATGTCATCCTAAGACTGCACAGCTCCAAACCCAGTGTCGCCTTACTAGACGTGTGCGATAAAGTAACCACTTCCCAATCAGTCATTGTAGTGAGGAGCATTTGCTCCAGGTGCAACAACACGGCGTCACATCGAACATTTGGAGATGCAACGTATTAGTCTGTCGTTATTCTGTGACGAACGATGCCTTTAGGCATAAACTAATGTGGTGTTGCACTTCAAGGCTAACATCAGCTGTAGCATTTCTGCCTGCAAACAGTTTCCTGAGTGTTCTCTGTGCTTCCAGGGTTTTGGTGTTGGAGAATGGAGAGATGGCAGAATTTGACTCGCCCTCCAATCTCATCAGTCAGAGAGGCGCCTTTCACAAGATGGCCAAGGATTCTGGACTCGTCTGAAGCCGGGGAGTGTCACTATGTCGGGCCTCCTGTCTCCTGCTGCAGAGAGCTGATGTTTCCAATGAGAGGGACACAGTCCTACGTGCCAATGACCTTCTTTGCTTTGAAACCAGCAGCAGTTTTCATTGCACAAGGAGGCTGGGCCTACTTACATAAAGAGAATATCACCACCAGCAGTTTGGGGTCTGTTTGTGTTGCCCTGACAAAGTTCATACCACATATCAAGATTACCACGTGAATATCAAAGCCCCCACATTTTTATGATGGGATAAAGAAGCTCGATCTGTGGGTCTGCCTCTTATATCCACACTGTCCACTGTTAAACTCCTCGACAACATGCTTTCATCATCATTATTACAGTAGTAAACACGAGTCATTCATACAAGCAGTGATTCTGGAGCTGAGGCACAGCTTGATTGTACCTGCATGCACACTACAAGAGGAAATTAGTTTAAATGTAAGGAATCAGGAATGTTCCAGTTTAACCTTTGTAACAGGGAAGGATGTGGGACATGCTGCGACCAAGCTGATTGGTCAGAATCATACATCAATCACAGAGAAAATACAGACGCACAGCTGCTGTTGAAGTCACTGGACTGTTACTTCTCATTCAGCACTGACTATTTATTGTCTTTCAGTTACAGCTTTCCATTGTGCTTTTGCTGAATGTGTTGGAGGCTTTATTCATGTAAGAAATGGTTCTAGAGCTTATTTTATTTTGATTATTAAAACAAAGACTGTTGCTCTGTCTTTGGTATGCAGCCAAATCTGTCCTGCGCTTTGCTTGCACTCTGTTTTCAGCGGTACGGCGCCTCTGATGGAGTCAGAAACAGGTCAACTATGGGATGTGGACAAACTGTTTGAATCTACATGTTGTGTATCTTTGGAAATGTATATACCTGCCTTACACAAATAAAGTTAGACAATGGCAACAAATGTGTTAAATAGTGTATCTGTGACAGCAGTGTTCATGTTGCTTGTGTTAAATGGCTTTGTGTGGTTGTTTGATGTGTGAAGTCTGTTTCTGTAGTTTACTCTACAGAGCGTAGCTTTGCACAGGTGTTAGGAGTGTGCTGGTCCACTTCAGACACTCTGCACAGAAACACTGGGCTCCGTCTCAGCCACAGTGCAGTCTGTTGTGTTTCAGTTATGCACACGCGTGGTGTTTTACCACTGGTCTGCATACACGCTGCTGACAAATTAAGAGATGTGGGTAACCCAACACTTCTCTCATTTGTTCCTGCACCAACCCAACAACTGACCTGTGCGTTTAATACGAACATGTTTGTTTGTCATGTCACAGCAATGCGTGTTTTACTGAAGAGCCAAAAGGAGAAACAATCCTAAGAAAAGGCAGCAAGGTTAGTATTTAAAAAAGTTTTTTCATGTGAAATTATATTCTAAAGATATGAGGAAAAAACCTCCCCGCACTGCTGTGGCCATACTGGACAGCAAGTTCTTATGTCTGTGTGGGTTCTTTCTGTTCACGCCACTGTGCTATTGCAGTCCAAAAACATGCATGGTTATCATCACAAGTGTACATATGAGTGTTAGCCCTGCAGCAGGTGGATGGCCTGTCCGGGCTCTATGGCAGCTGGGACAGACACTGGATGGACGGGTGATGTTCAAAGCCAGCTGAGCCTGGATGTGCTGAACAGCTACGGTCTCCTTTCTTTAGTAACAGGTGTTTTTACCTGGGGAGCAGTAAGTAGAAGTGAAGCATAAGTCCGGGTTTAGGCAGCAGACTTCAGACAGCTGTCTGTGAACCAGTCACAGCAGAAATGAATTAGTTGTTACAAAGAGACACTTTTTAAAAAGCCAGTTTGTAGTTCTGTTAAAATGTGTAACAGTGTCGCGAGCACGGCACCTCAAAGGCAACTTTAATGACGTGTGTTAAATGATGTGTGCGGCTCTTTCGCAGCACCTGATATTCACTCCGTTTCCCATCATTCTTTGTCGTCCGGTTTCACGGGAGGGAAGATGGCGGTGACTGGTGGAACAGACCCGTTTTAAACCCTGGTACGTATTTAAACACCACAAAAAGCCGCATATGTCTAATTTCGTGGTTTGATTGAATGTCTGACAAAGTAACAGCCAGTAGATGTGAAGCGGTGGCTTTGGCCTGAGACAGAAGGCGACCGGCATGAAGGGAACCCATCAACATACTGCTCTTCTTGCTAGTTGCGCTAAGCTAATTAGCTGCATGGGTAACTGAAAATCTGCCGCCAGACATTTTTAGCGTCTGATAATCAATCGAATGTGCGACCGCTGACAAATCCGCATTACACATAATGGAGCTAATGGTCAAAACGCAAGGCGGACAGATGTTTTGTAAAGCAACCAACGCGCTGTCCAGCCACGGAAAGCTAATGATAATGCTATCTGTGACAAGCACTGAGAAGTGAGTCCCTGATATGGAAGCTAAACATGTTCTCTTCTTTTACAACTCAGAAATCACGTAAGCATCCCAACAGAAGGAGAACGACGGTAACTGTAATCCACCGTGTAAACAACAGACGCAGTCATGTGCTGCGCAGTTTTTAATGATTGCGTTCAGTGAGCGTGGACTGAAAAATGTGTCTGTTGATCCGGTGTGGGGTCCACTCCTCCTCCGGCTGCCTTCAGCCGTCTCTCAGCTCACCCTGGTGAGAGCGCAGTGGGGCTCGGGTCTTCTGTTTCATATGACTGGACTCCAAACCGAGTCCCGACTGCAGAAGCATGTTAGCAGGCAGATGCATATTTAGCTCTTTGTAACAACAACGATAATAATATCATTCAAATTTGTTCAGTCAGTCTTGTCTTCAGTACAGAGAAACTAAGAAATGCCCTCACTCTGACAACACAACTGTAGAAACAGTCTGAGTATCCTCGATGATATTCATGTGTCAGGATCGTAGGCTCTCCAGGGAGCCTTTCCACGTGGATTATATTGTAACGTAAAGTGACACATGTTCTTTTCTTCCTGCAAGGTTGGTTCCTGAGCCCTGTTTTCTGGTGTGACCTGCCACGCCCTAGGTGTCTCAGTATTACTTCCCTCACTTTCTGACCCACCAGTATTTCTGGCTCATGGACTTGACTTTGGCATCAGGCTTCAGAAGGAGGCCTAGGGCCTTCTCTTCCCCAGGTGGAGTTGAAGAGACCTCAAAGAGCCCTCCTTCCTACTCACCTTCGTTTTCTGCATCATCTCCTTCAACCGGTCCATCTTCTCCATTGTCTACGTCCTCCTCTATATGTGCCAACACATCAGTTTATCCCAGCCATGTAAAAAGCCAATTCAATGGAACAGAGAGAGCCAGGGTTTCCTCCAGCTCTGCCTCTCTAGCTACGCAGTCTCTCTCCAAACCTACATGCAGTACCGCTTCCTCAGACTGTTTGCCTCACACTTTAATGCAACAAAGTGCTGACTGTGAAAAACAGGAGAGGAAAAGGGTGATGTACAATCCTTTCAATCCAAATAATGGAGCAAAAGAAGGAACTGAGATGAAGGAGGTGGGGGAAGGGGAGAAATACGATCCTTTTGACCCCACGGGTTCCCCAGCGTCAGATGTTGATGATGAGAGTGGCAAAGCAAGGGTACTGAAGAGAAACACTATAAGAGAAGAAAAGGAGAAGGTGGAGGAACCTCCAGATTCCACGGACACCTTCACTGACCTTCCAAGCGCCTGTCTGAGCACTCAGCTCCCTCTGAGGAGGAGGGTGGACTGTAGCACCATGAAAGCTGATTCAGATCACTCTGAGATAGAGGAGGGTGAGATAGTTGGAGCCATTGAAAGAGATGGGAGCAGTAAGAGACCTGTAGAGGAAACCCTCCCCCTGAGTTCTCCCAGCATCTCTTTCTTTGGGTCAAAGCCAGAGCGAATCTTCCGAGTGCTAGATGGGGATGGCTTTGTGTCCGTTTGCACAGAGGGCAGCTGGGAAGTAGACAGCGAGCTCAAGGATGAGCCTGTGGTAGGAGTAGAGGATCTGAGAAGGAAGCTGGTCAGCAGAAGGAAGGAACGATATCTCTCCTTTCCTGCTTCTTCACCCTGCTCTCCCCAGCCGCCGCCACCACCACCACCACCGCCTCCTTCTCATCCTCCAACCTCTACATCCTCGTCCCCTTTAACGCCTCCTGAAGATCAGGGTGGCAAGTGCTGCAAGTCCTCCAAAACCTCCAAGGGCCACAGCCAGCAAAAAAGCAAAGATAGAAAAGACGGAGAAAAGGAGATTAGAAGAAAAAAGAGAAGGAAAGGCAAAGAGTGGGCTCAGGAGTCGAACAAGAAAAAGGCGCAAAAGATGGGCAAAGAGGATAAAGGCAGAAGGAGCAGCAGGAGCAGCAGTCGGAAGAGGAAGAAAAGATGGCACAGCAGCCCAGAGACTTCACGGTCCTGCAATTCTTCAAGAAGAGATGGCCACACCAGATGGTCGCTTTCCAGCCTGTCTGAAGAAAGGCACAAAGAGAGGGAAAGGGATAAACACCGGAGCCGGACTGGAGATCGGGACAGAGACACCGACAGAGGGAGGGAACACAATCGCATCAGTAGCCACAGGCGAGATGGACGGGATGAAGATTTTAGCTCCAGAAAGAGGGAGAAGGAAAGGAAGGGAAAACATCATTCAAGGAGCAGAGAGCGAGGCATTTCAGAGCGGTCCAAAAGAAGCAGAGAAAAGAGAGAAGGCAACAGAGAAAGGGAACGTGACAGGGATAGGAGACGAGACGGTCGTCCCGTCATACCTCCATCCATCCAAGACCTCAGTGGGTCTGACCTCTTCGCTATTAAGCGAACCATTACGGTCACAACCACCACTACGACCACCACCGTTCCCGGGTCTCCGAGACTTACCCCATCCTCTCCTGGGAGGGCCACAAAGGACTCCGACAAGCCCTGTAAAAAGAAGAGAAAATGGCATTCAGCTGGAGAGGCAGGGAAACAAGGCAGTTGTCAGAGCCGATCGCAGTCGCTCTCGCCTCCCAGGTATCACAGCTATGAGTCAGACCGCTATTCAGACAAACTGGAGATTGATGTGTTGTCTTTGGATGGTGAAGCTTTAGACTCAGACTACCCATCTTTGGAGGACACGCCCCCTGCTGCTCTGCCTCCAGAGGCTCCCGTCCCCAGCCCTAAAGCTGCAGCTACGCCCAAGACTGGACATGAACCCAAAAAGAAATCTCGCACATTAAAGAAAATTGCCCGCTCTGAAGCTTCGGCTTCTGCCAGTACAACCAAAAGCAAATGCCTCTCTTCACTGATGGTCTCTTCCGGATCTGCCTCTGTTTCCCCTGGCTTCCCATCAGCAAAGCGAACCAGGAAGATCAAAAAAGACAAAGATCGGGACAAGGAGAGCAGAAAAGACACGAGTCGCTCTGGGAAGTCCAAGAAAGAAGGTGGTGCTAGTCAGAAAGGTAAGCTTCAGTCTAAAGTGTCGGTTCTGGTGCGCGAAGGCGTAAGCAGTACCACGGGGTCTTCGGTTGGCTCTGGAAAACTGAACATGGACCTTCTCGGCCCAGGTGGTGCAGCAGGGAGTACTGGGGGGTCTGTGGTGGGTGGCTCAATTGCAGTTGTGTTCTGCAGGGACAATGAAAGCAGGTCACCTTTTCTGAAACCTTGTTCAGAACCACTGTCACTGGGTGGGCGGAGTAAAGACCTGGTCAGTATGGGAAAACGCAGCGGTCTATCCGCACCGCCATCATCGCTGACCGGTCCTGCAGGACTGAAATCCAAGAAAGCAAAACCCAGCTCCATTACATCCACTTCCTCCTCAGCTTCCTCCCCTTCATCCTCTCTGGTAACCAAGCGGCGCCGCCGCCTGGCCAAGAAGACAAGAGAAAAGGCCGAAGCAGCGGGGTTGGCCGCCGGAGGCAGCAGCCAAACTAAAGTCATGTCGGAAGCCTGGGGTGGGGGTGTCTCCTTAGATGTTCAGTCAGGCGTTGGAGATGCGAGCAAGTCGGTCAGTCC